CCCGGTTTCGGGCTCGATCCCCAGTAGGGGGCGTGCAGGAGGCAGCCCATTGATGTTTCTTTTTCTTCCTCTCCTTCAAAGCAATAAAAACATATTTTAAAATAGTTTTCAAAAATTATAGTTGGTGATTGTTAAGTGCTAGTTTGTTCAGGTCTAGTGACTTTGTACTAAGGCATGGAACTATAAAACACATTCATCTGATAGCTCTAGTATTTGAAAAGAAGTATATACAATTTGTATTTACTCACTAAACTGTTATCGGGTTGTATTATTGTGAGAAATTTATAGATGTTAAAATAGTTGTTAGACATACTGTGTTTGTGACCTACGTGTATGTAAAAGGAAAATTATAAACATGATTTTATAAAAGGTTAGCTACAGACAGCCTGAACACCCTTATTACATTTATATACTCTATATTATTGCATGTTATATGTATTTATGTTCTGTATATACTATTATATTCTTATACTTTTTTCTAAAACAAGAACTACTTCATGTAACCACAAATGACTCATGTGAAGATTGTTACTGAAGCATTTATCTCTACATAAATGACCAATCTGTTTAAATACCATGGCTTCTTTTTAGCACCAAACTGTCTTCTGTATACAGGGTATCCCCCAAAAATGTATACACACTTTAATGGCTGATAGCTTAATTTTGAAAATGAACTTTTAATAAACACTGCCTTTATAATTATTCAAAGTTTGTGTATACATTATTTTGGGGACACCCTATATACATATATATACACACATATACATACATATATAGTGTGTGTGTATATGTATATTGTGTGTGTGTGTGAGAGAATATGAATGTGCGTGTATAGAAAGAGTTTGTCCCTGAGACTAGGACAACAAAAGAACATCTGTCTGGTTGTAGCCCCAACTCCCAGCTACATGTACCATGTCTTCTTTTTTTAAAACCAAACTTCTGAGCTTTTTAAATAAAAATTTATTAAATAGTTTCAGCAAGTCGAACCCTTTTGATAAAGTGGGTTTTTGGTTTTTCGGGAGAGTTTTCTGGCTTGAATTTTTTTAGAATTTTTTATAGTACTTAATGAGATTTGAACTCCTTTATGAAAAGAATCCAGTATTTCTAAATCTGCAAAATGTATTTACTATATTCTTTCATTTTATTTTTTAATGCTTACTTTGAGATATTAATAGAGTTTAAATAATCTTATTTCCAGGCTGATAACCGGAAGCGACATAAAGAAGAAAATAATGATAATCTTGATGACTTCAGAGCAGCAGAACGTGCTTGGCAGAAACACAAGCAGCTCAATGAATCCATTATTGTTGCACTTTTCCAGGGTCAGTTCAAATCCACAGTACAGTGCCTCACCTGTCACAAAAAGTCTAGGACATTTGAGGCCTTCATGTACTTGTCTCTGCCACTAGCGTCCACTAGTAAATGTACATTACAGGTAAGTTTATGTTTGAGAGAAAAGGCTTTGTTGAATAAAAATGCTGTTTATATGCATATAGAGATATTCTCCAGCAATTTCTGTTTCTTACCCCCACAAACATTTTATAGGTAAAACTCACAAATTGTTTTAATTAGGCTTATGTAGATTAGAAAAAAATTCTCAAAAAAAGTTTTCTTTTTAAAAGATTATTTTCTTATTAAATATTCTTTTAGAGCTGATAGTTTTTTTTAAAGTTTGTATTCTGAAGAAGTTTTTAAAGTTAATTTGGAAAATTATGTGTTGATTTTAGTTTAGGTCTAAATTCTTTGTAAGAACTTGCTTTACATAGGGATATCAAATAAATATCCTGTTTTCCACACAACAGCAATGTGATTTAGATCGTTTATTGATCTCTAGAGTTAGCTTCCTTGAGGATGTCATTTCTTCCAGTAGGAGTTCCCCAAGCCCCCATGTAGGTAGATGTGTGTGCGCTCAGGAGGTGCAGTACTTCTTCCTGTGACCACAGCAGCCCTCGCTACACTGTCGTCAGGTTAGGCTCTCTCCTCTTCACTCCTCACCAGATCATGAACTATGAGGGCAGGAACTGTTCTAGTTTACTGTTGTGTCCTTCATGCCAGGCAGAGTAACTTACCGAATAGATGTTCAATGATACTGTGTTGAAGAAATGAATTAATGAGTATCTACTGCTATTTTTTGCCCTCCAGGATTGCCTTAGGTTATTTTCCAAAGAAGAAAAACTCACAGATAACAACAGGTTTTACTGCAGTCATTGCAGAGCTCGGAGGGATTCTCTAAAAAAGATAGAAATCTGGAAGTTGCCACCTGTGCTTTTAGTGCATCTGAAACGGTAAAGAGCACAACTTTTTCTACCTGTTTAAGTAGTTTAGATGAAGGAATTCTAAGTCCTTTATTCTAAGTCACTTTGTTGTACTGCCTGCTAAGGATGCATAATCAAGGAAGATTTTAGGATATCTTCAGGGAAATAAAGCAGAAATGATGAGACACTCTAGTTCACCTTAGTGTTTGCAGTAACAGAGCAAAATGACACCACCACTCTTTCATGTAATTCTGTCTTTAAAAACCAGTAAAACTAAATTATTGCATTTCAAGATAAAAACTTTAAATCATTGCAGAACATAAGTGAAAATACATTAAAGTGTTATATAGTATAGGTCTAACATATTAGCAGATTGATCATTAAAACAGTAAACTAAACATAAAAGACATTTAATCGTGTGCCAAAAATGAAATACATGATTTTTAAAGGTAAAATTTTAAGGATGGCATTGTTGAGTGCAGGCATAGTTTTGTCCACATTTTTCCAGCCAGTGAAAAAGATCTGGCCTATANAAAAAAAAAGATCTGGCCTATAGTAGTAGAAGGAATAGTGGAAGAGTTGTAAAATATGTCTTGGGTCTTCTGCTCTGGTTCTTTTGTCTTTATGTAATCCATCTGTGGAGTGGTAACTTTGAGCCATTTTTTTGAAAAACTTTTTAGAAGGAAATTTCATCTTTTTATGGAGAGCTTTAATTTTTGTTTCAAAGAAAGCATTTCTATTTCATTTTTTTCTTTCATCTTTTATTATTGGAGATTCTTAGGCAGTTATGTTAATTTTAACATTGTTCAAATTCCTCTTGTGTAAATTTCCCAACAAAACTGGTTATATCAGTTGTCCTTTTCTTCTTGAGGACTGGAGGTATAGATAAACACAACACAAATAATTACACATTTGTTCTGTTAAAATTTTTAATGCTACATATTACTCTTGGAGAATATCTAAGACTATAAATGGTTCAGAATTCAGTTTTTAAAAAAATAATTCTGAAATAACTGTATTACACCAACCAAAAAACCAGTATTTTGGTAATTAAAGGCGCAGAGTATGCCAAGATAATGTTCTAGTTTCTGGCTCTAGTTTCTCCAAAAGTACAAGCTTAAATCTAGAGCAGCTCTCCTCAGTCTTTCCTTGGTACTTTAGTAGTGATTAGCATTATAAATGTGGGTTTTCAGAACTGTTTACCTTTATGGAGGATGCATCTAACAATCCACTAGCCTAGGGATCAAGGTGTAGCCCTACCTCTGCCACTCTGCCACTCTGAGCTGTTTGACCATGGATAAGCCATTTAATATCTATGCGCCTCAGTTTCCTCACTTGTAAAGTAAAATGGAAATGAAACCAAGTGTCCCAAATGTCTTTAACAGGTTTCTCCACTACTAAAATTCTGAATGTGTGATTGAAATGGATTTTGTGGTCCTGACTTGAAATCTAGATTGTTAAATAAATGAGTTAGGGTTCAGTTTAATGTCTTTCATCTGTCATGTAATTGCTGTAATGTTTGGCTTTGCAGGTTTTCCTATGATGGCAGGTGGAAGCAAAAACTGCAGACATCTGTGGACTTTCCCTTAGAAAATCTTGACTTGTCACAGTATGTTATTGGTCCAAAAAACCATTTGAAGAAATACAACTTGTTTTCTGTTTCAGTAAGTATGTCATTGAACTAAATACATTTTCTTTCAGAGCAAACTAAAAATAATGTTTCAAGTGGTTTCTTATCTCATAGGAAAGTAGAACAACATAAAGCTTTGAAATTATTGACATTTAAAATAATTCAATTTGAATTGATTTTCTCTTTTGTTTGGCACAGAATCACTATGGTGGGCTGGATGGAGGCCACTATACTGCCTATTGTAAAAATGCAGCAAGACAGCGGTGGTTTAAGTTTGATGATCATGAAGTTTCTGATATCTCCGTTTCTTCTGTGAAATCTTCAGCAGCTTATATCCTCTTTTATACTTCCCTGGGATCACGAGTGACTGATATAGCCACATGAGAAGAAGTAGGTTATAAACTAGTTATCTTTTAAAAAGCCGAGCAACACAACTCTTGAAATGCTTATAAAGTTACTGGACAGCTATACCTGGCCATTTAGAGGACTTCTAAGACAGCAAGAGCTGTTACTATCACCATATACTTCAGGTCAGTGCTATTATCAAAAAACCGGCTAATAACATGTAACAAGTATTGCAGTAAGCACTTCTTAGCGGTACCATTTACTTCATAATAACTTTTTTAGTTTGTTCCAAAATTAAAATAATTAACTAGCTAAGCATTATTCTACCGGTCTAAAAACCATTGTATCTGTTATTTTCATTTTCACTCTTACGGCCTTTTTCACATTTCTAAGTCTCAGCTTGACCTATGAATACTCTAGAATGATACAAAGCAGATAGGAATGTATATGTATATATTTATTGCACACTTGCACATCAAATCGATGTACATAGTATCACGTGGTCTTTTCGTGGAATCTAGAACTCAAGGGATTGCTTTTTTTCTTTTGGCCTTTTCTGAGTAACTGCAGTGCTTTCTTAGGGAAATGACAGGGCAAAGCTATTTTTCTTTTGGCTTTGGGCTGCATTTGTTGTACTTAAAATCTTTATTCTAAAAAAAAATAAATGGAAACTTTTCTCTAACTTTTTAAAATGAGAATTTTTCATTTACACCTACATTAAAATCTTAATGAGAAAAATAATTTAAAACCCTGTAAGTGTTCTGTTTTTAATTTTGTATTATCAAATATAGGACAGCAGAACTATAAATTTTATACATACACACACTCTTTATCTCACTATATTGACTTAAAATTTAGTTCACTTACCCTGTTAGCATCAGGACTCAATTCCACTCTTCAACTTGACCCAGAACTGTATATAGCACTTATGATTCTCAGAGTTGGGAGTCATAGTAAAATATAATACCCAGACTCATTCTATCAAGAGGAGTAGAAGTCAGGCATGACTGCAAAGTGAATTACCTCAGGGACTGTTGCTATGCATGAAGTCAGTTAAAACACTCCATATAAAAAGATTCTAAAGGTGCTTCTGAAAGCAGTGGACTCCCAAGGAGATGATGAAAAAATTGAGTTTTGAATTGTGAAGTTGACAGCTTTTCATGCTCAGCAGTTAGTCTAAGAGACATCGGTTTTTTGGCTACATTATCTGATCAATTAAATATCTGCCAATCACATTCTTAAGTTCACAGAGCCACTAGAACAAAAGTTATTTTTGTTCCATTAAGTGTCTTTGGAAAATAATTTGTTGGAGAGATAATATATATCTTTCTTGGCTATAGACTTACCTTATATAAGGTTGCATAATATGCCAGAAAGAAAAATGTCAGTGATGAAAGTAAGTTGCAAGAATTTAATAACAAGGCAAAACTTAAGTACCAGTGTCTGATTGCTTGTTCTGCAACTTTCAGGAAACACCATTTTCCTAGCTCTTGCATTTTTCTATAGGTATAGAAAAGGGCTGGCAGCTATAGAACAGGAGATATGCTGTAGCAGTTTGAACTGAAGTATCAGGAATCTCACTGACTCGTGTATCATCAAAGCTAAACCAGGCTTGGGTCACTGAGTTCTTGCAGAAAGCAGTGTAGTGGCCACCATCCAGATCACCAAAGTGGTTCTAGGGGAGGAAGGAATGTCAGACTTAGTATTCACATGCAAATACTCTATTGGGACAAAAAAGGTAAGGCCAAGAAGTATTTTTCATAATTGTCCCTTATACTAAATTAAAAGGAAATAATTTTGTTCAGTTGAATCATACATATAGCCTGACTTCTATATTGTTTTTCTGTTTTGGATGTTTTTTTAAAAATAGATTTTTTTAAATTAATTTTTTTTTTTTTAAGGAGAGAGAGAGAAACATTGATTTGTTGTTCCACTTATTTATGCATTCATTGGTTGATTCTTGTATGTGCCCTGACTGGGGATCAGACTTGCAATCTTAGTCTATTGGGACCACGCTCTAACTGAGCTGCCTGGCCAGGGCTTACAGTGTTTTTCATTTCATTGAACTACTTATATATTGTACCCATTGACTACTTAACAGAATCTGTGAATGAAATAAATATTAGTCAAGTATTATCATATCAGTTAGTACTTACTGAGCTTCAGCTGCATAGTGCTGCCATACAGTGTGAAGGGATTGTGCAGCAACAATCCCCTAAACCACAAGGGTCCAAAAAGAACCTGTTCCTTTATCTTTGTCCCTTGTCTTTGATAACCCAGTTAAAGGAGTGTTTGAAACAAAGACATTGGAGAGAAGGTGATATAGTGTACAGCTGGGGTTGACAAACCATTTTGTCCATTGGCCAGATCCAGCCTGCAACCCATTTTTGTATGGCCTGTTAAGAATGCACTTTATATTTTTATATGGTTGAAAAAATAAAAAGACTAATATTTTGTGACGTGAATATTTTATGAAATTCAGATTTCAATGTCCTTAAGTAAAGTTTAATGGGAACACAGCCATGCTCATTCTTTTATGTTTTTCATTGGCTGCTTTTATACTACAACAGTTAAAATAGTTGGGAGAAAGACCATATGGCCTGCAAAGCCTAAAATATTTACTGTCAGGCCTTTTACAGAGTAAGTTGCTGATGCCTGGTGCTGAAGGAAGTGGTTTTTTTGTAGTCAATTTTGACTGTGAATTTAGCTCTAATACTAAGGAAGGACCTTAAGGAAGTTATTTAACCTTTCTGAGCTTTAATTCCCCCATCTATTAAAATGGGGTAATAAGACCTAGTTTTAACTGTTAGGTATTTCATATTATAGAGCTACCCCGTAGGAAGTCCTTACTAAATGTTCCCTTTAGACCTTTATCTTCTCCTATCCCCTGACACGTTAGAGAAATATTCCAAAACTGACAATTAAAAGATCTAGTCTTGGTCCTCAATATGTGACCTTAAGCTGACATGCTTCACTTTCCTTATTTATAAAATGGTGCCCATAATAGTGTGATGTAATTTGATTGAGAAAACAAATCATCTGGTGGATAAGTAGTGCCCAGACGATGAAGTAATGTTCTGAAGTGATTAGACAGAACAGAACTGGAGTATTATGTTCAGTTTTGATGACTCAATGGAAGAAAAAAAAAGACACAGAAGACAATGAAGCCAGCTGGGCATGGCTCAGCAGTTGAGCGTTGACCTAGGATCCACGCAATCAGGGTTTGATTCCCGGTCAGGGCAGATGCCCAGGTTGTGGGCTTGATCAATGGTTCTCTCATCATTGATGTTTCTATCTCTCTCCCCCTCTCCTTTCCTCTCTCTGAAATCAATAAAGATATATTAAAAAAAAAAAAAAGACAATGAAGTATTTCTAGAGTTTCGGCAAATATAGGAGATAATTAGCTAGCTGAGAACCTTAGTTATAAAATTATAAGGAATGCTGGATAAAGCATGGTAAACACCCTTTGAACTATATGGTTGACTTTAAAGATTGTTTAGTAAGAGTCAGCCCTAGGGGCCAGAACCAGAGGAGCATGATGTAGGGTTGATCCTGTGACTGCCTCAGAGTAAAGATTATTCCTGGTCACTCTAACCAGGGTGCTTCAGTTTTAAAGGTCACACAAGGACAGGAGATAAAGTCTTAGGTTCCAACAAGGTGAGGAGTTGAATTGAGGTCCAAACACCTAGCCAGGGCTCTTAAAAGAGATTCACCCTCAATAAAAATCCCATTCTTTAGAGCTAGTCTTATCTTAGGCTATGGGTGCAGAGAATAAAAGCCATTCCTAGGAATTTGTTACCACACACCCTGTGTGGTTTCAGAGTCCCGTGAATCTCATGTGAGAAGTATTTTTGGGGTGTCATGCAGAAACAGTCTTACTTTCTGGATTGATGCACCATAATTCAGGCTGCACAAGATAACCCACATATAAAACCCCAGCGATGTTGAAAATGTACTATTTCAAATTAAAAGTTTAGAGGCTAGGCCAAAATGGTTGCATAAGAAGGTGCTGAGCTCGCCACCTCCCAAGAACACACAGAACGTACACCTATATTTACAGCCATTCCTCCTAAGAGACAACTGAGGGCCAATTGAACAGCTTCTGCAGGACAAATGAGAGAACAGAAAGAGAAGGTAGGGGAACCTCAAGAGCTCTCTGGAGCTGAGGGAACTCTACAGAACCAGAGAAACCAGTGAGTGCCATTGTTTACATTTCCCCTATGCTTGGATAGAGGATGGGAGTTCTAGCCAGGTGCTCTGGTTGACCTGAAGCACTGCTATAGCACATCCCCAGCCACTCCAGCAGGAGAAGCAAGGTGCCATAGTGCAGAACTAGCAAAGTGCTGCAGTACCTGCGTGCAGAGCTGCCCTTCCAGAGAAAATGCAGGGATTGGGTAGCATTGCTGCATGACTACATAGGGATGTCCCGTCGGAGGAAGTGCTGAACTGGCAGAGTACTGCAGTGCACACACAGGGCTGCCCCATCCAGAGAAAGTATGGAACCAATGGGGTGCTGCTGTGAGCACATGCAGGACTGACATGCCCAGAGAAAGCGCAAGAGGAGCAAAGTGCACAAAGAGCTGCCCTGTCCAGAGAAAGTGGAAGTAGTAGGGTGCTGCCACATCATACTCAGGGAAACCCTGGTCAGACCTGGCTTGGGCAACAGACAGAGCATCAGGGCAGGTCATGCACAGCAGGCACGCTACCCAGATCAGAAGGGCAAGGAAAGGCACACACATAAGGCTGCCACACCTGAATTCCATTCTGGCTGTGGACAGCCGGAACAATAATGAGCTACCGCATGTGTGTGTACACCAGACTGCCATGCCTGGAACCCATTCCTTCTGGTTAGGAGGCATACTAGGCACTGCGTATGCCCACCTTGATTACAGCTGGCCTACCAAAGTCATCCAGCACACAGTCAACACAGAAGCCACTTTTTCAAGACTGGGAGACATATCTACTTCATCTAACTCATAGGAAGAAACACAGAAAGTCAAACAAAATGGGGAGACAGAAGAATATGCCCCAAATGAAGAAAAAACCTTAGGAAAAAACCATAGTGGAATGGAGATAAATAATGTGTCTGAAAAAGAATTCAAAGAAATGGTTATAAGGATGTTCAAAAACCTTGACAGTAGAATAGAGGTACTCAGAACTTCAACAAGGAATTAGAAAATGTAATGAAGAACCAGTCAGAGATGAAGAAAATAACCAAAATGAAAAATATATTAGAAGGGTCCTGCCTGGGTAGCTTAGTTGCTTAGAGCATTGTCCCAATGCGCCAAGGTTGTGGGTCTGATCCCGTCAGAGCCCATACAAGAATCAACCAATGAATGCATAAATAAGTGGAACAATAAACTGATGTCTTTCTCCCTCCCTCCCCAATAAATAAATTTTCAAATATATTACAAGGAATCAACAACAGGTTAGTTAATAGAGGATAGATTAGCAATCTGGAAGAAAAAAATGTGGAAATCAAATCAGGACAGCAAAATGAAAAAAGAATTTTAAAAATTGAATATACCATTAAGGACTACTGAGATAACATCAAGCACTATAACATTTGCATTATAGGGATTTCAGAAAGAGAAGAGAGAAAAGGGCAGAAAGTATATTTGAAGAAATAATGGCTGAAAACTTTCCTATCCAGGTCTAGGGTTCAGAGTTACAAACAAGATGAACCCAAAAGGCCCACAGCAAGACATACTGTAATTTAAATGGCAAAAGTTAAGACACATCCTGAAGGCAACAAGTCTGTTTCCAACAAACAATGGAAACAAGTCTGCCCAGCTGGTGTGGCTCAGTGGATTGAGCGTTGTGCCACGAGGCTGCTGGTTCGATCCTGTCAGGGCATATGCCTGGGTTGCAGGCTTGATCCCCAGTAGCGGGTGTGCAGGAGGCAGCTGGTCAATGACTCTCCCATCATTGATGTTCCTATCTTACTCTCCCTTCCTCTCTCTGAAATCAGTAAAGGTATATATATATATATATATATATATATATATATATATATATAT